AATATGCAAAGCTAATACAGCTACAGGAAAGCTAATTGAAACTCTTGCTCACAGGGAATAGAATTATTAACTAAGTTACCAATAAAAAAAGACAACCACTGAAGACCAAGGGATTTTCACAAATATAACAGGGGGCCAATGTACCCCCTAGAATCTCTATGACTAATTAAGAATAAACAGGTTAGAAAGAACAGTGGGATCATCAGTCAAACAGCGAGTCTACACAAATGACACATTAGAAACTGCCCCAGGTTTTTATTTATTTCTTTTTAACCAAAGTAGCAATTTTAAATTTGTGAGATGATAAGGGGGGGGGGGAAGAATCATAATGCATTTTTTTTAAAGTACAACTGCACACTAAATCTACGACAATTCTTGTATATCCATTCTCACTCCCAGAATTTCAGAACAGAATCAGAATGCATCGCTCCCCTCTCAAGTCTCAGCAGCATTTTCCATTTTATGAGTATCTGATTGAAGTTTGAGAGTGAATTTAACAGTTCTGAAAATGAGTGCATCAGCCAAGCGTAACAAAAAGGTGCTGTTAGAACTTTTTCTGCACATGTTTGGCAAGACTTCAAGCCTCAAACTGTATCCCAATTTCTGCTCTCAGCCTCAAGTAAAACAGCTATTTATGCCAAATTGTATTAGTTCTGCACTGGGGAACAAGACAGAAGACAACCACAATCCAATGCACCCACCTTGTCCTTTATTATAATACAACGGTGGTTTAGAGCAAGAGATTAGTATGCCAGGTTCCACCTTTCAAATAGCACTGACTTTGTCAATGGAGGGGGTTGTATCCAACTTCAAACGTTCTACCATGTTTATGGTGAGGAAGAGTGTGGGGGGGTTGGTAGTAAGTTCCAAAAACTTCAGTGGTTGGTAGTAAGTTCCAAAAACTTACCATGGCAGTGCAAAGCTAGTTTAATGTACCGTAACGCTCTTCCATATTTCTGAAGACTCATGGCTGCGTCAGATAGAATATAGTAAGCCCTTGATGACTTCAGAATCAGATGCAGTTTCATTTCATACTGCCAGGATCCAGGAATCATTCCCGACTGACTGGAACGTTTACCCTTTTGAAATGAGCCCACTGTAATGTAAAAATAAAATCAATAAATCTTATTTTGAAATATAGCCCAGGAATCAAACTTAGCTTCACTGGCTTATAGGCTAACATTTAATCCATCACCCTACAGTGATGCACAGGTAGATTTATTCAACCTTCTGTATTTTTACATCACATTTTCCTATTTAAACTTCTAGCACTGCCATCTGGTGATCTCAAGATACTCGACCAAGGTGAACTACCATAGATGGTATCATTTTAACTAAGCACACAGGTTTGAAAGCTTTTGAGACCCAGTAGCCTACTGGTTGATACAGTTCTTCTCACATTTAAGATCAAACAAAATTGGGATGAAGCCATCGACAAATGTGGCTTTTTGCCGTGCTGAAACTAAGGGTGCAGCTCAGCCTTTACAATAGTCCACAGTTGGAGGCTTCCTCAGTTCCCAGGTTCGAGGAAATTGCACCAGCCAGTTTCTGTCAGAAAGTCTTCCTCAAATAAGCAGATGGAAATGCATCCTGGTGGAGGCTGCTTCCTCGATGCCAGAGCAGACCTAGAACCAGGCAAAATGTGCAACCAGCATGGAGCCAAACAGGTTCCAGTCCTGGCTTTGCCAGTTCAGGGGGCTTTAAAGCAGACAGACTTACAATATTCCTTCATAAAAATAAGGCTCAAACCTAAAAGTGAACCAAGGGGCCTGGCTCTCAGACCCATCATTATTAACAGAGCACAGTATCTCTCTTCATTTGAATAAATATTTAGTACAGACACAACTTGAAATCACCAAGGACATAGAACAGATGTCAGCAAGAATTCTCTCTGCAACACTGAATTCAGTGAGGCAAGGATTTATTTGGGACAAGATTTATTTTTATTTTTTTTATTGGGCCAGCTGCATGTTTTGGGATAAAGTTAGAAAAGCTTTCAAATGCAAAGCATTGGTATTTTTCTCTCTTACCCAGGCAAGGGAAATGGCTTAGGAGATACAACACACAATTTGCAGAACAAAACATAAGAACAATAAAAGGAGGGCAGGAGAAGGGGGGAAAAAATGATGCAAAGGTCACATACAGACGTCCAAGCTTTTTCACTCAGGGCAGAAATGGCTGCTCGGCAAGAAAAATAACTTGGGAACAATCATGATTAAAACTGCTCCTGGGAGAATTTCTTGTGGGAGATGAATAACTGCACACTTTCCCCTGGCTTAACTCTTGGGGACCAGAAGGAGCAGAGCCTGGGGGAAAGGCTTGATGCCTTCTCAAAACTAGGGATACCCCAGTCTGGAAAAGGCACAGAGACAACTGCTCTCCTCCTCCTGCAGACAGAAGGGGACAGGAGGAGCAGCCCCAGCTGCTTCCTGCCTGCTTCTCACATCAGAGACTTTCTGGTGTGAGGCAGGCAAGGGCTTTGCCATGCCACCCTCTCTGCTCAGCTCCTAGGCACCAGGAGTTGAGTGCAGGGATCACAGCTCCCTGCTTGCTTCCCTTTGCATGCCCCTCCCTCCCCACCCTCACCTCAGCTGAACAGCAAGGGCAGTGATTGAAGAGCCAGCACAATTGGCAGCAGGGCTTGCAAACCTGGCAAGAGCTATGCCAGCTTCCCCTTGCATCCCCCTGCCACTGAGCTGGGTGGCAATTTAAAAAGGCAAAGGGGCAAGGAGCTGGGCTTGTGGAAAGCCTGGCTCCCAGCCCCTCCAGCTTCCCCTTGTTCCCCTGCTGCTCAACTGAGCAATGGGGGTGGTGATTTAAAACCCAGAAGGGCTGGGAGCCCAGTGTATGGAGGCTTTCCCCAAACCCAGCTCCCAGCCCCACTAGCTTCCCTTGCCCCGCAGCTGACCTGGAGCAGGGAGAAGTGAGTCAGGCTCCCATGCTGCAGGAACAAGGCTCAGGAACCTTGTTACCACAGCAAAATACTCCCGTCTGGCCCTGCACTGCTCTGGGCCAGCACAATGCAACACAGGGTGACGCAGGATGTGGTGTCCCAGTGACAAGGCTCCTGGAGTCTTGTCATAGTAGCCAAGTTTTCTCCCCTCTCCCTGTGATCCTCTGGGTCAGCCCAGAGAAGTGCAAGGAGTGGGGCTATTCTCCTGCATGGGAAAACCTTGAGGGTTTCCTCCATGAAAAAATCCCATCCTCCAGCCAATTAAAATAATGATTGGTGAGAAGAGGGGGCATGGCATTCTCCCAGGGCCAGAACCTACCTGACACCCGACAGGCAGCCCCCTTCCCAGGCAGGGGAGAAGAGAAGACAGGCTGTCAATTAAGTGTGCTCTGCCCAGGGAGCTGCCCTCTATTGCCCCCAGGCTGGAGAGCTTTCCTTTGAAGCTCCCCAGCCATGGGACCAAAGGAACGTCTGTCTGTAGGGTCCAGCTAATAAGCTATTTTTCTATCTGACGAAATTTCTTCCAATAGGAATCAATGCTTATACGCAGCCAAATTTTCACCCTGATCTTTGAATTTTTGTCCTTGTTTAAATTCAGTCTAAAAAAAATATCTGTACCCCCAAAGGCTTCCAGGTAGACAGAAGTGTAAACTAAATTTCTGCTACAGCTACCAAATGCTGAAAGAGAAGTCTGGATCTCTCATGTCCTGCACAGGTGATTATCCTAGCTCAGAATGTAGTGTAGCTGTTTGGTGAGACATTTATTCTTAAGTTCTAGAACCAGATATTGATTTTTTTTAAAAACCCCAAGATATTATTTGCATAACTCCAGGTCACGACTTTCAAGTGACACCACTGAGTATAATATAGAAAAGAAAAGGCATAATATTTTAAATGTCTTTTCATTCAAATATATTGCTTCTATGGCTTCATTCTCTAGTGACTGCAGTAAAAAAAAAACTAAAGCCATCTAGATAGGGGGAGAGCTGACACAGAGCGATTTGTGACCAGTACTGTTCCTCCTCCTTTTACATGGCAATTATTTTCTTACTGCTCCATTTAATGGGGAATCTGCTATTTAAAGCTAGGTTTAAAAAAAAAAAAGTGGATGGCCCCCCCGCCAATAAAACAACTCAGGAAAGGTGCCTAAAAAGAGAAACTTCCCTCATTAAACATATTTCGCCACTTTTAGCTGCCAGAACACATGCAACTTAGCAGCCTGCTCAACTTCACTGCATGCATTAATGAAGGAAACGTCAATACTAAATTATATTTTAAATCCACATCTGAGAGAAAATAAGCACCCTTATAACAATTATTAGGCATTTGTGTACTGTAACTTTATACAGTTAGAGCCCTCCTAGACCTAGGAACACTGGGTTGAGAAGGAAGAGCTCTCTCTTTCCAAAACCAATTAATGCCACTGCAAGGCTGCCTTTAAGGAGTAGCAGGACAAGAGTATAACTCCAGGCTGGGAACTTTTTTGTTCAAGCATAGTGTTTCCTATTGTTCTTCCATAAAGGTAAGAAGAACTGCAACATGACAAAAGAATAAGCCAGATAACATTTTGTTTGCTGACAAACTGGGCATGGGCTGCCTTTGTGTGTCTAGTACAACAATATCAATACTAAAATAATGATTGCCAAAATACAGCTTTATTCCTATGAAGATAAATCTTCCAACTGACAAAAAGATATGATTTGCTTAAGAAAAGAAGATCTCTAAAGAGGGCAACACATTTCTGTTTACAAGGAATATACAAAGATTTTTTTTATGACAGTAGTGGCAAATTGCATCTAAACATGCAGTAAACTTAAGTACCAACTATAAAAGGATCTTTGATATGCTAAAATAACCCAAACTGTCCTATTTCTTTTCATATTTAAAAGAAATAGCCTATATTGTCTAATTTTACTTGTGTGCAATACTCTTTTCTTTTTTAATACATAGTGCAATTAGCAATCTACAAGTACATTGCTTTGACAATCAAAAGAAAGTAGCTGTGCCAATGAAAAGGTCTTATTTGCACAACAATTCAGCTTACTTTTGTCTAAAAACAAAGCCATCTGTTTTTCCAGACACTCAGGACCACTACTTGTGGATTCATCTTCGTATTTTAATGGGATTGGGGTGTTGGGGTCAGCTGCAGGAAGGTCACCTTCTCTTTTAATGCTGCTGTCAACAGATTTCAAGCCCTTGTTAAAAAAAAAAAAAAAAGGCTTTCATTAATAGTATTTACTCTGAAGATAAACAAAGCTGGAAATGTGCCAAAACCCATACTTTATCAAGACATTTTTTCATGACATTATGAAATATTTAAAATGAATAGTTACCTCCAAAACATAGCTGAGCACTAGCCTGCAGCGCTCCTCTGTGTCATGGCAAACAGGAAATGCACAACTAGGCTTAAAAGAAAAAAAAAAAAAAAAAAAAAAGCTTAGAAAGAAAATGTAGACAGCAGTCCCATACATTTTGAAGCAGTAAGACAGAAGCCAATTTATTGGTCTTTACTGTAGCCTGTTAACCAAATCTAAATATTGGAGCATGTTGCATTCTACATTGTACCTAAAACATAAATATTTCCCCCCTCTACTTCAGCAGTATTGCAAATACTAGCAATCTTTATGTGCTGCTCAACTAAATTATGATCTCAATCTGATCAAGCACTATACTTGTCATATTCCTTCCACATTCTCGAATTAAGATGCTTCCAAATTTTGACACTCAATTTAAGAAAAAAATACCCATCAAATAAAGACTTTACAAGCATACAACCTCAATGGTGTGCATAACGGTCATTGATTTATTTTCTAACTTGAATTCAAATTGGACCATTTTTAGAGAAATTTGGTTTTAAGAAGGTGCATCATATACTCAAAGGAATATAGTATTGTGCTGTGATGATCAGCATTTCTGATGAACATTCTACAAAATACTGATCCCAGTTTTTTGGCACAGAGACAAGTAAAACTGTCAACCTTTTTCATCTATCTAGATGTAGCCAAAGAATAGTGGTTGAGTAGCTAAACAAAAGGCATACTAACATAAGTTAATGAACAATTTAGAGACTAAATGTAATGCTTAACATTTGGAAGCTAAATGACAAAATTTTGCATTATCTGGTTGTTTCAGAGAGTTCTGGAGAAATGATCGTGAAGAAATCCAATAGTAACCAACGTACATTTTCTCTCGCATACAGATTAAGGAAGCATACACCAGTCAAATTTTTGACAACAGTATAAACTGAGGTGCATCCTGACATTGTTATGGTCAGAGCTGACCAATCAAAATTTTCTTTCCATACAGATAAGTAGGGCAGTATATCATCCCTCAAAATTGCCTCTATGCTGGCACACTTTCAAAAAGTCATCAGGCTGCCGAGTTTTGGCAGCTGGAAGGAGACAGAGTCAGGTGGGGAGTGACAATATTTCCATGGATTTGGGGTAGGTAATGCCCAGTAGCTTCTCTCCATGCTTAATTGTTAAGTTGTTGTTCCAGGAATGCAAGTGCACAATAAAGTAATTGATTAATACTGAGATGGAGTTAAAATCTAGACAGCTGCAATTTGGTCTGATGATTTTTATTGAGAACACTTCATACAACACTTTTTTTTTTTTTTTAAACACGTCCCCATTAGCCTGAGATGCATAAATATTTAGTGGCATAAAAATGTTTAAAAATATTTTTTAAAAAGACACAAATAAAAACTAACTATATTTTTTGACAACACAAGTAGCACCATGCTCACATAAAGCTTTGTTTTAAAACTCAGAACAACTTCAATAGCTTACTCTTATCCGATGGATAGATTTATATTTTTCTGGTACTGATAATTCTCCAACTGATTTGATTATAGCTACTGCTTTATTGTCATCTGGAGGATCAGAGCTGGTGCTGTAGGAACCATTTTCATCACTATCCGGCATTTCTTCTTCCTCTTCACTGTAACTTTCATCAGAGTTCCCATTTAAAGGAAATTCTGCACTTTCTTCTTTTTTAGGCTCATCTAACTGGAAAAGCTCTGAGAGCATGTAATTCGCTGAAGCAATAATCTTAAAAGAGAAAAGTGTTTTAGAAAATTTCACAGCACTGCGAGTTATCAGCACGTTTTTAAATAAGCAGTTTAAATTGAATTTTGGATTCTTTACATTATTAGACTAAGAAACAAACTTAGACATGCGGCCAGCAGATCTACCCACAAAACGATACCAGTATCTGCAAAATCTTGAACCAGATATTTGATAGGCTTTAAGAGACATGACTAATGCAAAAGAAATGTCACAATCTGGATATTAACATCCTGCAATTTTTTTGTTTCATCTTTCTGTACTTAAAAACATGTAAACTTACAGCTGTTTGGCGACTGGAATCTTCTAAATTTCCATTCCTTTAATAGCTTTTAGTCATTTCAATATTATGTGACTTTTATTGTGACAGTCCAAATGGTTCTGAGCATGGATAATCTGCACTGTAGTAATCTTATGAAGAAACACTGAAAAGTTAGGTTTAAAAAGGACCTTTCCTATTGAAAGACAGTGCTACCACATGGCGTGTTTAGCGTCCACAATGACACCTGGTGGCTGGGCCTAGTGTAGCAGTCTTTATTAACTCTATTCCATCCCAGCCACAGAAGTTTAGCTCTCACCTCTCTCAAGGGTAAATGTAAAGTTCAAAATCACGATCCAGAGAACTATAAGACCCAGCTTGAGAGTCATTAGTTCCTCCCTCTTGACTTCCAGGGATATAATATCCCCATCTACCCAGGGAACTAGAGGAATTCAGACCCATCTTCACTTCTGGGTTCCAGCCCAAAGACCCAGTATTAAGCAGCAAAGGACAGCTCCCTGGGTGCTTATACACATGCTCCAAAACGTTCTAATTAGAATGCACTGAAGCAAACTTGATTGAGTCTAATTAGAAAGCTCCAGCATGCTGCAGTGTCACATGTATTCAGTGTCTCGTGTTTCAAAACAGCAGCAGGGGTGCTTTAACTAAAACTGGAACAAGCTCTAGGTCAAGCACCTGGGCCACCATTTTGAAACATGGGACACCGAATACACATGACACTGCGGCTTTAAGTAGAATGGCTCTCCAGGAGCCACTTTAATTAAAATGCGCCCCCCCCACCCCCCAGCACGTGTATAGGCACCTCTTATGACCCCTACTGCTTCCTACCTTCCCTGTTACCAGGCTCTCCCACTTTTCCCAGATTGCATCTCTGAAGTAACCAAATGTGGCCAGAGAAACCAAGTGTAGCCAGCAAAGCTCCTGAAAGGGTTGGGAACTGAGGAACGGAGCAGGGCCCACCATTTAGGACATGAAGCCCTACTAGGGATGCATTTCAGTGGCAGAGGAGCAAGCAACAGCTACATTAAATCCCATGGCTCCTTGAACTGACATAGTGGGATGCTGCTGCTGCTCACCCTACAATCAGAGGTGGGTACAAATCCGGCCTGGTTTGACACTGCTGATCTATGGTAAAAAGCTGCAAAAAATAAGTAAAATTACAGTTTGAGTCTCAATATCACTTTCTAAAATAGTTTCTTTGTAAATTTTACCTTTGCAGATTTTATCATGGTCCACAAAAGCTAAAATAAATAACTTCCACAGACATATCATAACCTATTATACCATTCTACCTTTGAGGTCCTTATATTAGAAACAAAGCTGCTTCAGAGACTGGTAGCTGTGCATTAGACTGATAAAACTTACCATTTTTAGACAACAGATTTCTCAGTTTGTCAGGCATGATATACCTCAAAACAAATGAACAAAAAACACCACACCTCCCTGCCTGGCCTCCCCTAATTCTGGATCCAGCTGCCTTTCTTTGGGAGTAGACCTACACTCCACAGCACGGCTAGATTTTAGTTTGGGTTAGAATGGAAACAAGCAAGAGCCATTTAAAACAGTATCAGCTCAACGCAGTTGGGACCCCTAATCTTGCTCTGGAGGAAGCACTGCCAAATGGTTAACGCTCAGATATGATCACAAAAACATCTTAGATTGAGACTAATGATTTGACCATGGACTCAGAAAGATGGGGGTCAGCTAGCACATTTCACATTGTAGCTTCAGTCCAGAACTGTTTCATAAATAAGATACAAATGCCCTGGCACAGAAGAGCAGTAATTTGGTTACCTTTTTAAAAAGGTACTGCACAGAACTCTAGAGGTATTAACTGAAAGTGGGAACAGAGCCACGATTTCTATTATATACACCTTAAGCAAGTAATCCTTACTTGAGGATGTCTGCCTTTATCCAGTAACTTAAGACAATTAAGGAGTAATGTTCTAATAGTGCCATAGTGTTTTTTGTTCTGGTTCTTCTTCAACATCATATTGCAGGCAACCCTGGAAAAACAAAAACAAAATAATCAAATTGTATCTTTTGTAGGACAAAAGGAACATTTTACAGAAGCTTTTCTTTACCTCATTTTCTTGCATAAATATTCAACAAAGCCCAAGTTTTTGTAAATAATTTTGGAAAGAAAAATTCAGGTACCAGAGAGCAGTTTTTCTTTTGGCTTAACATGATTTTGCTACCTGCTACCAAATGCATGAGGGGAATGAATATGCTGCTGCACCAATTTTTATAATGGTTTTAGAACTGCATTTTTTTATTTAATGGGAAGAGTACCTACAGTTTGTGATTTCAAAAAGGTACTCAAGTGCCAATGTAAATGCTGCAATAACCATTATAGTTTTTATAAGAAACACTTACTTGTACAGGAGAATTGCCACTGGCATCGTGAAAGGGTTTTGGTATTTGTCTTCTGTTTCTTCACAAAGAGTGGTGAGGTCATACAGTTTTACTATATCACTTCCACTTGCTGCAAAGATAAGATTTTCAAATCGGCCAACCTGACAATATACAGATTTTTGCACTTCATTAAACCAAATCAAGAAACTTCTTACCCTTAAATAGCCAGTAAGTATGTCCTTCTTTGGTACAATTAGATTTCAGAAAAGACAAAATATTTTGAGCAATATCCTTTATCACTTTGGTAGAAAAATTGGAGTTTTCTAAATTGGGAATATCTTCTGTCTTGATCATTTCATACTTCTGCATAAAAAAATATTTTAATGAAGCAGTGAAAAAGCTGTATTCAAAGATGGTTATGTAAATAGTGGTTTTTTTAATCACCTGCTAAATTGTATCACCTGTCAGTTTGCTAAGAGTGACCAATGTTTGCTAATGATAGCTCTCACATTATAAGCTTTGAAGTTATTGTTTGTCAAATGTTCCCCTACGTAACTTAATTTTATTATTTTAAGACTACTGGGTTTTAATTTGGTTTCTTTGACTGATTTAAGAAAAAGACTTCAGGCTTGATTCTAACAAATTAAATTCTGGAGTTCTGACATTTAATAAACATAGTAATCACAACAAAACAATGACAGAATGAGTGTGAGCATACTGAACAGATTGCAGAAAGTACAGTCTAACCTAGTTAGCAAGGCTTTGTCATCTTAGTGATGCTATGAAAATGAAAGTCTGTATTAAGTGTGTCGTGGAGCCATAAACCTACTACAAAATAGAAAATAAATATATGCAAACAGACTAATGTCCAAGATCTCTTTATAATTCAACATTTCAAATCTGCAAAAGAAGTCTACAATGATTCTGGAGTTACAGAGTAGTGCTCAAAACCTGGAGATGATCACATATATGTCAAAAATAATAGTCCAAAATGGAGACATGGTTATACAAACATGATGCTTCCCAAGCCAGCTGGCTTCTAAGGGATTACAGCAAAATAAAGCACAGACTAAAATACAAGATGGTAAAACAGCATTTAGCTTGTGAATTCAGGCCCGTAAAAGCTAAGATGTGCAAGAGCCACAGTTGTTTGGGCAAATCTTACTTCTGGCTCCCATGTGTCCATCCATGCACTAAATGAGGCAGGGATCCTGTGGAGGAAAGCAATAAGTATACACTATCGTAACACATGTGCAAGGGTTTGAATTTTCAGTGTTTAATATTTTAGATGCAATTTCTTAAGCACCGTTTGTTTTGATGGAAGATTATGTAAGTTTTATTATGTACAATTAACAATGCCTCAACTATACACAGTTAGCAAGACAAATCTCCAAACACCTAGAGCAGAGTTCTTCCCCAAAAAAGTACAAAACTATATTTACTAGCTGGCAGCAGGAGACACTTATATTCAGCCATTCAACTTAGCTGTACCTGTACATAATTTCAACAAGCAAAGCACATCTATCTCTAGCCCCAAGGCTTTTTCTCAGCCAAATTTACAAGCTAGCTGCATGTGATGGAGGTATTTCAAATTCTCACATAAAAGTTACAAGAATCATTACTAATGATAAGCCACTGCTTAGACCCTCACCATAAAACAGGTCTATTAAGAATGAAGAAGTTGCACTGATCAAAGAACTGATAAAAAGTGGACATCCTGCAAGATGTCAGACCATACCTGAACAATTCCATTAACATGGAAGCACATCACGAGCTCTGGAACATTGCATATTAGATTATCCAACCAATAGTCAATTCCTGTTAGCACATTTATTGGCTTGTTATTATCCCTGCAACAGAATATTTCCAGCATTAAGAACAAATTAAGATTTTTATTTATTTATTTATTTTTAAAGAGTCGGCACATTTCCTGGAAATTCTCTTTTATCACTAACGAAGACAATCATTGTAAGAGATTAGTCATTCATGCTTCAGAAAGTTGATAATAGGAACAACTTTAAAGAAAGCTACTGTTTCTTACTATGACTACACTTTAAGAGTGCTCCAGTAGGAATAATATTTATATTTTGTTGATATTGACATGAGTTATTCTTACAGCGATACATGAATGTCCCTGCAAAACTTGTGTATTTCAGCCTATTTTATCATCAAGTTGCGTGTTTATGAACATAAGAGTCGAAATGGCATTAGCTAGAAATCAATCTTAGTACAAACTTCCTTTCACAGTTCTGCCAAATCACTGGCTGAATCTGCACTGGTAACAGCCCAGCTACATGAATCTTGGGCATCTCTCGATCAGTTATGCCAGCGGAGCTCCAACTTTTTGCTCACCCTTCTTTGCATAGGCAGAAAGTGCCAGCAGCAAGAAATCCACTACAACATCAAACATATCATCAGCTACTCATTAATAGTAAACCACAACTATAACATACATTGTGGTACTTGAGCACCTCACAGTTATGAAATGTTCTGCCTTCACAACCTGTGTCCAAAATATCGCTTTATCCTGTTACAAGCAGGTGTAACGTACAGTAAGATTAAGAGCCCAGTTCTCAGAAGGGTGTAACACCAGCAACCTCAACTAAAAGTTAGAAGCTGAACCCAGATGATACCTCTGGATATAAATAAATCAATTAAATAAATAAACTAACTAAATAAATAAAACAAAAACAAGTAAAACAAAACAGGCCCTATTGAGCTTAACCAGTCACACAAGAACCAGAACAAAAAGCAGCCCAGGGCAGAATCAAACACAGAATGAAAGCAACTTGGAATCCCAGTGCAGTGTTATGAGCACAGGGATATCCTTACTCTTTCTAATCATCTTATGAAGCCATTACCACTTCAATATTGGTCAAATGCATTAAGATAATCTTTTAACTGCAGATAAACGAATCAGTTACCCAGAGAGATACAGACAACCAAATACAGAAACTAAAAAAGATTAGTTTCATTTGGGACACATGCTGTGTTAGTTTAAAAAATTTACCTGAGACGCAAGCTTACAGCGGGGTATCTTCCACCTCCAAATATAGGCATATTTGATCCTACTAACATATGAATATCTTCAAAGGTCCACAAGATATTTCGAACAAAGTCATTTTTAAGACCCTTCATTGGGAAAAAAAATTATCTATAAATAATCCATCCGTTTATTTTTTCTTCCATTACAATTGCAGTTTATGAGTAAGCAAGATGAAAAAAGCGCAAATAAAGGACAGCACATAAAAACTATGCTATACATTCACAGTAAATTAAAAGATCAAGATCACAGATGCCACAAAAGCTATTTCTAAAAGGGATCGAATCTCTCTCTCATCTTCAATTTAGACCAAATTTTAAATGGGTTATTAAACTTGGGGTTATGTGCATCAGCTCAGATTCCACATATAGCATACCTGACTGTTTTCCCCGTCATTGAACAAAGTAGTCAGATTTTGTTCTTTGGGGGCTGAGGCCACATGCCCCACTATATATGAGGGTTCAAGAGGCACACTTCCCTGTGAAAAGCACAAGGATATAAGGAATGATTCTGCTGCTGAGATAAAATTAGGCCACTTAAAAGTGTATATCCTAAACAGTGGAAGCAAAAGTAGTGAAAACCTTTACTCCTACTTTCATTTATTTAATGTGTACAGTCAATATAAAGAACTATTTAGTCAGCAATTTAATTAATTTCTTCGTTACTGTAGCTATTGTATCAAACTTTCTGGTAGCTAGTTTTTTTCCCAGCTAGCCCTCATATGTATGCAAGAAATATTAGTTTAATCTTTCAAAGCACATAAATTTAAAAGCAAAAGGAAAGAAATATAAATCTGGTATCCCTGAGACAGTACTATACTAAAACAACCCTGGAAATTTACAACTTCAAGACAGAGGATTTATTGATCAATGAAGATCACCACTACAGAACATAACATGCATGTTTTTTGTATCACAAAGCCTAGCCTGCCTGAATACCTGTAAAGGTGGAAGAAGAGTATTATGTCTATGCCCAGTCAGGCCATGAGATGCCCTTCCAATTCAAAGCATGTAAAACTTTAGATAACCATGCAAAACATAGCTTCCTTGTGAATAAAAGTTATTGAAACTGAAATGTCTTTTGGGGCTGCTTTTTTCTTGGGAAGTAGGGAAGAATAACTTTGACACCGTGATTGTCCCAGTTAGTGGTACTGTCTGCAGACAGCTGAGAAATAATTAGCATTTTAATATAAGCATAATGATATTTATTTACTGAAATAATGATTTACGGAAAAATCTCAACCAACTTTTACAGAGGTAGTGAAATTACAGGGCTACTCTATACAAAAAACAGTTATAAGGTCCCACTGACTTCAGGAAACCTATTCCAATACATGATTCACACAACAGTCCAAGACTGCAGCAACAAGAAAGAAAAGACCTTTGGTCTCTTAGTAAACAACAGGTACCAGAGTCTGCAGTATTAACAAAATACACATGTGATTGACTGCATATGAATTCAGAGGAACCTGCAGAGAGGTAATCAATATCATTAACTTCCTACTCCCCTCTGGAAATATTTCATCAAAAAGTAGGTATTTGTATATGCTGTTTGAATGATTTTGGAAAATTTTTCCTGGAACACTAACTTAATCCCTTTTTGTGTAGTCACGGAATCTATTCCTCTTAATAAATTAATGGCTATAAAGGAAATATTTCCAGGTATTCTTGATAAATATATTCTAAAAGACTAAATTTTGACACTAGCTATAACTGCCCACAGACATTGATTTGGGGAATATTTAGCACACTTGTTCTTCAACATAGTTATTATAGGACTATAATTTTGCTTCAGGAAGCTGGATGTTTGCATCAGAAATAAGAATGATATGAACTGAGACATGACAAAGTATTCTGAGACATCACGTCCATCCATTCCAGCGCATGTCAGTTCTGACGAGGATCATCAAGTCTTAGAACATCCTCATAAGAGCACAAAAAAGGACTAAAATAGAAGTTGTCTGGAAGCAACAGAGGAAACAAGTGAAAGAGCTGTTTTTGCACTATAACCATTATAAATTGTCAAAATAAAAGTTCTTCTAAGATTTTGTTGTCACCAAAAGAAATCAAGAAACATGAAAATTCAGATTTTCACTTTTTAACCTCAGCCAACTTCACCACAGTACTGTAACACAATGTAGAAAAAAATTCTTCTGTTCCTCAGCCTTTCCTGTACTTTACTTTTATGAACAAGCAGGGCATTCAGCCCCCTCTACATGTTCCACAAGGCATGACTAACCGGTTAAACACACTTCAAGATGTCACCCAGCTACAAGTTCAACCAATGAATGGTGTGATAGACTAACAATAAGCTACAAAATTATTCCACAGCAAAACGCATAATAACTATGTAACTTGTTGTAATCACGACATTAAATTAATTGAAAGCGTGGCCAAGTGCTCCCCTGCAGCTGGGAGTCCCATCAACTGAGGGGCTTCCAGTCACAGGGGTGTACCACCCACTGCGAGGCCTACAGCTGATAAGGCTTACAGCAGCAGCAGTGTTCCTAATGCTGCCCTGATGTGAGCCTCATCAGCTACAGGGTTTTCAGTGAGAACACTGTGCCCTCCCCCACCCTGCCATCCCCATCCTTCTGCAAGCCTTGTACAGTGTGGGACTTGCAGCAGGGGCAGTGCAGAGAATGCTGCGGGGACAATGGCACCACCTGTGAGCCCTACAGCCCCCGAGCCCTGTGGAGGCAACACTGATCTTCCCACTGAGAACCCCACAGCCAATGATGCTGCCCCCACATTGAGAGCCCTGCAGCCGATGATGGCTGTGGGGCTCACAGTTGATGATGGCTATGGGGCCTGCAGCCACAGAAGCCAGTACAGCAGGATCCCAGGATCATGATCCCAGGCTCCCCTGCACCAACTATAAGGCACAAAGGGATCTAATGCATGATCCCACAATCACACTTCCTGCCACGCATGTATGGCAAGGCAGGAGGCCAGATTATGTTGATCGCTCCTTAGATCCCATTGCACCTTTACCTGCACCAGTAGAGCGGTCCTCAAGTTATATTTATATGGGCATTTGTATTCTGATTTAATATGACCAAATATACTTGAAAGGAGTCACAACTGATGATTCCTTTTGGCAGTAGCAATAAGTTGAGTCACAGTTATGGCAAGTTAAGACTCTGTTTACTAGCTTTTAGTCAAATAAGGAAATGTTTCTAATCTCTCATTTAGTAATATGTACTGCTGCTAAGACAAAACAAAAGTGATTCTTTTAAATGCTAAAGGAACACATCTCCTTCTATACCTCAGTTCTTGCTTCTTTGGATAAAATATTTCAACTACTACAGTTCGAGAGCTTACATAAGCATCAAAATTAAATCTCTATAAAAACATAGGCTTCTTAATTAAAATTTAATCCATGCTAACCTGGTTAGAAGCACCTGGATCTTCAGATATTGAAGATGGCATTTCAAAAGGGGCGGGCCAAGAAGCCCTTCCTGCTTCACTACTCTCATCTGGGGCTGGAACTTCTTGATGTTCTTCTGCAGTGGAAGGAACAGGCTGAGCAGCTCCATCACCATTAATGCTGGCACAAAGATATTACAAGTTAAGTCAAGAATCAAAATAAAGCCAGATATCAAATATTGTTGATACTGTATGTGATTTTACTCTTACAGAGAATAGAAACAAAAAGGCATTTTTTGTATAATATTATAAACACTAAGACACTTATGAATACAAATTTTACAATAGCAAGGGAGGTGTCCAGGATCACGTTAAAATCCTTGCAAATTATTTATTCACTGAGAGAGAAGCCCTGAAACTTATCTTCAACTAAGCTACAGAAGATACCAAAATTCATCATAGATACTAAAATGTATTAGTGTAATATTCTTAAAACCATATCCTCTCTGGGTTTTCTTTTTTTTTAGGCGAAAGCAAGTAATAACTAATCTGTTTTTCAATATTTGTTTAAATACAGTGAATAAGGTTAGGACACAATTCAGAACTTATTCAAACAGTATCATGATCAAACTACCTGTAATATAAAAACTTTGAAAGTATAGCCTTATGGTACCAGTGTTCTTTACTTTTCTTCTTTCGTTGCCACTTCTGATCTATTAGTCTTTGGTAGAATTCTTTTAGCCAGGTCCAATCCCCTGTCTAAGCAGAATAAATAAATGTGAAACAAACGCTTCAGCTAAAACTAGATCATAACAACTAGATCAAATATTTAGTTAAAAATAAACATCCCACATAAAACAGAACAGCATGTTTTTAAAATAAATATTATCTATTGAAATATATTTAAATTCCCACACCTGTACCTTCATAGGTAAACTACGAAATAATTTAATCTATAGACACTTGCCATGGTAAGACACTGAGTAACAGATTTGTGAAATAGACAAGCAAGTTATTAAAATGAGAAGGTGGAAAGACATAGTGCCTTCGCCTGACCTTTCATTGACGGTATCTGACCTTTCACTGAAGTTGGTGTTTTTTCTCCAATTGCTACAAATGATAGCACACCATGTCCTTAGCAATTCTGACACAGATGCCACACTTTTGCTGACAACACTGTATTTGAAATAAATATACCATGTGGCCAAAAATGTTCAAAAAAAGAGTAACCTGGGATGATCTCATGAAGAGCTCCTGAATATCTAATTCATCCAGTAAAAGGGTTCGTCCAATACGGTGTACTGCCATGCTTACATGTGACTTGCTATATGGTATCTTCAGGAGTTTTTTAATGTTCTTGTAGGGGGAAAAACAAAAAAAAATTATACCCCCCATAACCACACAGAATTACATGATTCTTCAAACATGATGAACACAAATATACAGCCAGCAAAAAGCGCTATCACTTTTTGCATAAGATTCTTATAAATCATTGACTTTTAGGCCTTCAGTCAGCTCTCCAACACTGCTTGTTAGAACTAGCTTTTCAGCAAGGTCTCTTTCTGTGCCTCTTTTCACTGATCAACATGAAGCACATCTTCAATTTTCCTTCTTACGCTTCTTTTCACTTTTCTGCCCAGCTGTTATACACCAGGCTGCCCCAAAGGGTTAGGCAAGCATTTACTGGACTGGGTCTGTCACCTGCCTAGAAAATGAAGCCACTGCCTGATATGTTCCAATTAATACAGAAGATGTGGACAGTTAAAAGCAAAAGACTTCTAACTTCAAGTAATTCACTGCTTGCCTGTAAAGTTGTAATAGTAAAGTTAAGCACTCATCTTTCAGTTTGAATGATCATTCCTATGTAAATAGTAAATTGTTAAAAAACAACGCCCCCCACCAAAGTCTGATATCAGCTGTCACCACACAAATTACCACCAGTCAGGTTACTACTATTTTAACTATAGTTTCCTTTCCTTATTATTTCTGAGCAAATCAGGACTCCATTGTACCAGGATGGAAAAAAACCAAAAACAAACAAATGAACAAGACCTTCTACCACCCCCCCCCCCCCCCCCCAAATATACAACAGATAACATATGGCTACAGACATACAGGAGGCACAAAGGAAATTATTAAAGCAATACTGCTCAGCAAGGTGGGTAGTAGTCTCTGAGCTCAAGCAGGCTAGCAGTTACCAATTTTTTGTAGGCATCACAAGGTAAAAGGGGAGCTAGAGAGATTAAGAAGGAATTTGAAGTAGGATAATGATAGCTTTGAGAGTGTTTGCAAGAAATGCCTCCAAAAACACAGGGCATGAAAGAATACATGAAGTCGTTTTGCCTGAAAAATTTAACAACTGGATGATGAAGGTTGATATGGAAGTTGATCAAAGGTGGCAACTGACATTTTGTTACAGAACAAAAATAAATGAGGGTCATGGGGGGGAGGGAGGGGGGGCAGAATTCCAGGTTTAAAATGCTATTGCATAGTACCACCACTGAAAGAAAGAAATGTTATCTACATTCCAATTATGTAATTAAAATATACTAAACTCAAACATTAGATTTTTCAATGTAAGCATAAGTACAATGCATTCCCTAAAGATTCTCCCATAAATACTGGATCTCTGAAAGCCTTTCAATACATGTTTGCAGACAACTGACATCTTGTGATAATGTTCCTGCAAGAGTAACAGAAGATAGCTGTCATAAGCAAAGGATCTGAAAATGTATTATACCCTAATTGTCAAGATAAAAAGCAGGGGGCTTCATCTTCAGTTGATACTCTCATACAGCCAAATCAACACTCATGATTTCCTGCTCCCTTATCCACCTGGTCAAATTATGGCTATAGGGAACATGAGGAGGAGTTAAAATACATTTTAAAGCAAAAATACATGCTTTGAAAAAAAAAAAAAATCATAGGAAATTCTTTGTGCATGTGAAAAGGAACCTTGAAGATAGAATGCCTTAAAAAAAACCAGAAAGAAAAAACCCACAAATTTTACTCATAATTATAAATTATGAATTTAGTCTAGGAGGATACAGATTCTTTGAGGAGTTAGGTTCATAACCCCCCTGCAAAAGGTGTGTGTGTGAAATATACTGTGGTTACATATCCTTGGAAACATCTGCAACGGATTAGAGAGATGCTCCAGCTGTTTGCTATGGCTTTAATTTCAAAGGACACTGCTTCTTCAATCAGCTGTGTAGGACTGCAGTTATACTCTGACTGATTCGAGAAGTAGTGGCTTATTCATTCAGCCATCTACTACAAATTAAACAGGATGCAAACTATTTTTGTACAGAAAAAATGTGGGCTCTACTCTAGTAGGCCTGGGAATACTTCTGTCCACTAGAATACTCTTGATGCTTTACCAAATATTCTCTCAGTTCTCTTATTCTCTAAAGTATTCAGCCTATACCACATACCACTTCATGTTCCCTCATGAACTATACACAAAATGTTTTAGATAATACAGGGGAGTGTGCATTTTCCTGCAGCAGACACTCATATATACATCTATTTTATGTGCCATTGCACCTTGGAAGTCTAACAGTATTTCACAAATCCACAATCTTATGATCTACATTACAGGAATTTGCTATATTCACTATGACAGACCACTGCATTCAAATACTTCCTGCAGAACAAGAGTGCACAAAAGAAGATTAAAAAAACCTCCTACTTTATTCAATAGTCAAAAATCCCTTGAAATTATAAACGGATTAGTTTATTTTACCTTAATTTATCTGTTGGCAGATGTTTCATTTCTTCAAGAATGTAAACAAAGATCATTACATTATATAAAAGAAAATTATTCTACCATAAACAGCTCCCTTAATCTAGATACTATTATGACATTTAGAATTATTGAACTATAGATTATACATACCTCAGAATCAGAAACAACATCCACATCATTCCCAATCGAGTCAATGAAGTCATATGCCATGCCAAAGCTATTTTTAAAAAAGCATTAGAAATTTAAACAACTGCACTTTGACACTGAAAATATAACAGCTTGTTCTGCAAAGTACCTAAAAATCTCTTACCAAGAAAAAAAAAATCCCTTCTTTCATTTAAAAAAAGACTCCAAAGAAACAGTACTAAATATACTGGGATCAGAAAATATCACCAAAATCATTTTGCAGTGCCAAGTGGCTTCTACAGAAGCTTTAAAATGCTGTTTAAATCTAGCTGTTAGTATTTACAAGAGTCTTTTGGGAGAAGAAAAGATAATCATACAAGGACATTTAACTTCTATAATAACAGGGAGAGGCAAGTAACACTAAAATACTAGCCTGTATTAAGCAATATTTACCATAATGGAACAAACATTCATCTTCCAAAATAAATTCTCAAAACTGACTAGATTAATCCAGTTTCCTTACAAAAAGAGAGCTGCTCTCTTGATCTAATAAAATGCAAGTTTTTATATTCTTTTAAACGTTGATTACTTTCCATAAAACTAGCTCAGCAAATAAAAAGCTCCGTTTTAATACATTCAGCATCCTTACATGTTTGTCTGACTTTATTTGAAACTTCAAATTTAGTGTTACTTCAAATAACTTAGTATTTAGTAATATACTAAAGTTAGTATTATTTTTGTATCTGAAATACTAAAATTATACACTTTTATAACTTGTTTGACCAGGAGCACCCTTCAAGACAAAACTGGTTCAAGATTTGCACTCAAGGGACACATCTAGACATGCGTGGACATGCAGTATGTGGCGCCACACACACTGCACATGCAGGCATTCCCCGCACTGCTACCCCGTGCTCAAGTAGCTGGCCAGGCTCCCTGCTGCAGGAGCACTGCAGCTGCAGCTCTCGGAGGCCGCCAGGGCCCCAGACAAGGCTGCTGGCCCCAGCCTCTCCTACCACACCTGAAACAATTAGGCACGTGACAAAGTACACATGTAGGGATGTGCCCTGAGAGACAGAGCAGTGGCACAAATATGTGCCACTGCTTTTTATGTCCCTGGAAATGCACACTTCTGCACTTGAGGATGCGCCCAAGGTGCCCTGCTATTGTTTCCTTTAGCTACCATACTCCTTTACCCATAAATTAGTCACTCTCAATTTCCAAATTTCCCAGTTGACAGGCAATTCCTGAGTAACGAATGATACAGAGGATACAAATATTTCCATTCTATTATCTTACATGTTCAAAAACATAAGTAATAGGCAAATGAGCCTATTTGATTGCTACCATCTAAATACAGGAGATTAGTCAACATGGAGAGAGTTTGATGGGTCTTGATCTAGTTGACAATATACACATCACAAGAGCTATCACTGTAATTGGCATCCTTGTTTATCTGCTGTGGGGAGGAGAGAACCAGCAGCAGTAACAGAAATAACATAGGATGGGGGAAATCAGTACTGATATCTCTGGGTTACACCCAACACTATGGCATTTTAACCTGACATGGTGCAAAATCAATACCTACTAACTGACCTGGGTTTTTTTATACATAAAAGAACTATTATAGGTAAAAATTGAACTATTAACTGTTCTAAAAAGAAGAAATTAGACAAAAACTTGAGAGGCAATATCATTTCACCTTTATCACATTTATTAATAATTTTGCATCCCAAAATATTTCTGCAAACTGTACACTGTCAAAGAAATGTCTTTACTGAACATTCAGTTCTAGGTTTTACTCTTAAAAGTTCAGTTGTGGGGGAGTGGGAACAAACAATCCTACAACTCTTTTACCTTGAAAATGGTTTGCTTTTCTTGTTGTTGCCAAGAATAGTTGTTCCTGCTGGTCCCAGTTTGGCACTTTCACGTAACCAGTTGGCAGGTGGAAGTTTCAAATCAGTCTTCTCTTGAAGACGAGCAAATGCTGCTTGTGGTGGTGCAGACGAATATTTCACCACAGCACTGCTTTTTACTTCATTACCTCCAAAAAATACTACTGATCCCTAGTTTGAGAACAGAAAACAGAGAGTCCTTAAATTTACAAAATAATTTTAATAAAAGCTATTAGGTTCTCCTTAATATCCATTCAATTATGTTTAGTGACTGTATTAAGACTACAATTGGAAATAGAACATTCTTTCTGACACCTAACATTTAAGACCCAGTCCTACAGACTTACATACCTACTAGCCATCCCACACTACAATAAATTCCATGGACTCTAATGGTAATCTTAACACATGGTTAACTCAATGTACTTTGAGAAGCACTAAAGTCAGTAGAATTCCCTATAGTATATGAAATTAAGCAAACCTTGAAAGACAGCATAAGCTACTAAGCCTTACATTGACGGAAAGGTATTAAATTAAATGATTTTGTCAGGAAACACCAGTTAAGACTGAAACCCCCTTCTTTTACTCTATCCCTTATGATTACTTACAATTTCTCAAATACAATAGCATATACAACTTTCTCCCTCAATAATCAAAGATATGTTAGCAGGCAACCACTGATCCTTCTGAATCATGGTGTATGCATGGGAGTTCACCAGGACCTTCAAGGAGTACAGGTTTCCCTCGCTTTATGCTTCATAGACATTCGGGGTGGAAGGGACCCCGGAGGATCATTGAGTCCAGCCCCCTGCCCCAGGGGCAGAAAGTCAGCAGGGATCATAGGATCCCAGCAAGATTAGCATCCAAATGGGTCTTGAAGGCGTTCAAAGTGGGTGCTTGAACCGCCTCTGGCAGCAGTCTATTCCAGACCTTGGG